GAGGTGCTCTACAAAAAAAGCTATTTATCCAGAAATACAGCATCACAATGGATACATGTGTCATAGAAAACTATGTTCATATTCAGGGAGGCAAAGAAGTCAAAAACTTTTTAAAAAATGAGGATTACAAAATTGCTTTTGAAATAATTACCTTTGGCTACGGTATCAATAACAAGTGTTACTTCAAAGTTAGGCAATAACTGGGCAGGTGTACTTGTAGAAGTATTTTTTTGTATAAGATTGTGATGGCTGGCCTTTTTTGCAAAGTTATGATGTTTGCAGTCTTTTGTGATAATTTTGTTATCAGGCATACACAAGCATGAAAATTCTGTTTTCATGGCCTTCCCCAACTCTATTTGTCAGATTTTTTTTAAACACTAGTGACTTCATTTTGATTCTGACAATTTTTTCACATCTCCCTCTTTTCATCAAGATCTTTCTTTTTCTTTTGTTTTGAGTTGGAATCTCACTCTGTCGCCCAGGCTGGAGTGCAATAGCACACTCAGCCTTCCAAGTAGCTGGAACTACAGGCGCGCCGCTACTACACCCGGTTCATTTTTTGATTTATTGTAGAGATGAGGTCTTGCCAAGTTGCCCAGGCGGGTCTCGAACCTGCGGGCTCAGGCAATTCACTCACCTCAACCTCCCAAGGCACGGGATTACAGGCGCTGAGCCACCGAACCCGGTTAAGATCTTTCTCCAAAAGCATCACTGGTCAATCAACCTGTAGTTAGGTTTTGATGTCCCTCAGTGCAGATGTGGACTTGTCCCTTTGTAGATCTCAGCCCACTTGGGAGGGAGTAATGACTAGGAGTCACTGTTAAAAACCCTTTTAGCCACATTGATCAACAAGGGAAATTTGAAAACAGGATAAGTCTACCTGGAATCCACAATTAGATTGAATTTTGTCTGTTTCATAAACTTTTGCTGTCATATCAAAGACTGGCCCAGCATTGTTTTGTTAGGAGTTGCACTTCTACGAAAATTTAACAAATATCAGATACAAAGTTTAAAAAGAAAAATACAAAGTAAAATTATTAATATGACTATTCCGGTTCTTATAATAGTTTTTTGAGCCATGATCTAGGCTTAAAGACAGCCTAATTAACACATTAAATGACCATAGGGAATTAGGTAAGACTAGCAATTATGTGGCCTGTTTTGTATGGGTCTCAGCTTCTCCAAAAGAATTTATTAAGGTATAGCATGTGGCATAAGCAACATCAGAGACATTTATGGTACTAAAGTATTTCTTTGGATAGATTCTGTTAAGTTACCAGCAAGCAACTAACTACAAAAATTTCAGTTACATAATTATCTTGTCAAGTAAGAAAGTAACATTAAACAGGGTAAGAGTCTCATTAAGATATGGAATTTTAATCCAAAGTCTTGGGAAAACCTGTCTACAATGTGACAAAACCTCTTATTGATTTGTACTTTGAATGTCTCTGGTCATGACATCAGGTGGTTTGATGAATTTATGTATGGCTTATACATCAGAAATGAGACTTGGCCCTTAAGACTTATTTAATTTCAACTTACAAGGCTTTAGGAACAGAGCAGCTTTGGTTTTCATTTGAAGAGTTGTAGAGAAATGTTGCAGAAAATTAGGAGAATTCAGTACCTCATTCAATCTACAGGTAGATAACAAGAGTTTAAAAATAAAACAGGACTACAATCTGATTACAAGTATATTACAGTTTTTATTTAGAAAGATAATTTTTTTCTCTCTATATTGATTACATACGAGTTGCAGGTTTAAAAACTTCTTGAAGCTAGGAAGCCAAACCAAGGCAAGCTTTATCTAAGGTCCTTGTACCTGCCAGAAACTGACAAATATTATTTATTCACTTGTAAGACTGGGAAACTCTGGAGCAAGTCATTTCATATTAATTCTTAATATGACATACTAATCAAAACCTTGGTAATATAACCAATGTTTCAATTTTATACGATGTATAATTTTATCTGATTTGTTGAAATAATCATATTGTCCTAAAAATAAGAATACTAATGGATAGTTTCGAAAATTTGGAGGAATCAATTAGAAACAAAAAGTAAATGCTTCCACCTTGGTTGACAAAAAGCATACTTTACCAAATTTTTATAAACTATAGATAGCATGTGAAATAATATTTTTAAATATGAAAAACAAAGCATTTATCTAAAAAGTAAACAACATTTAAATAAAGGTTATAAAAACATTATACTAAGCCGGGCTCGGTGGCTCAGCCTGTCATCCCGCGCCTTTGGGAGGCCGAGGTGAGCAGATTGCCTGAGTCCGCGGGCTCGAGACCCGCCTGGGCAGCGAGACCTCATCTCTACAATAAATCAAAAAATCAGCCGGGCGTGGTAGCGCGCGCCTGTAGTTCCGGCTACTCGGAAGGCTGAGGCGGAAGGATCGCCGGAGCCCAGCGGGTCGAGGCTGCGGTGGCCGGGAGCGGCCCCTGCACTCCAGACTGGGCGACCGAGTGAGACTCCGACTCAAAAAAAAAAAGAAACACACAAAAAGCAAAACAAACAAACAAAAACCCTGACACCTCAATTAAATCAGAAACATACAACTGACCATTAAATCGAGGCAATAATGTCATGTTGACAATTTTTAAGTGATTTATACTTTCACATCACCCATAATTTTAAAGGCAGCTGATTTATTGGAGATTCCCTGGCAGCACATGAACAAAAAGCCTTTGCTGGTAAGAGAATCCAGCAAGTCCAGTTCCAAGCACGGTCCAAAACACACGTAAGAAAACGGAAGCAAACAGGGAAGAAGATGCGAGCCCACGAGAGCTTCTCAACTCCCCGTGCGGCGGCAGCGGCGG